GATTGAATTATGGGTGACTTTGTGGTTCTCTTTTTAATTTTTCTATAGAAAAACATTTCTATTTTTGTAGTTTCTGTAGTGAATTAAAATGTTTTTCTCTAAGTGTCCGCAAATTACGATTATGGACGCTGAAGCTGGACTTCTTAGGTTCCAGCTACTGGCTGTGTGAGCTTGGGCAAGTTACCTGGTCTGTGTCTCAGTTTTCTCATCTGAAAAATGGAGATAGTGTTATTTCCATCACAGGTTTAAATGAATTAATGCAGGTGAAAAGATTAGAATAGTACATGGCAGATAATACCGTAATATATGAGTGTTTTCAAATGTTATTAATATTTTCTTCCTCAGTGTCCTCTCAAAATTCCTATTCTTTAGGTGACTTTAAATTAACAAACTAAGTTACAGGTGTGTGTGAGTAGCTCATTAGAGTTTAATGTAGGTGTCAGCAGACTGTGGCTTGTGGCCCAGCAGTTCTTGAGCTAAGAGCAGTTTCTACATTTTTAGAGGGTTGTTAAAAAAAAAAGAAAGGACAAAAGAGGAATAAGCAATAGAGACAGTATGTGGGCCAAAAGCCTAAAATATTTACTCTCTGGACCTTTATAGGAAAAGTTTGCTGACTGTTGGCTTAACTGGTTTCCCCTTTCAGATATGTTTCTGATTTAAAATGACCACACCATAAAACACAGTGAATAATCTCTAAAGGTGACATTTCAAGAAATACTGCAAACTGGAAAGGAGGTAGTTTTGAATGAGGAAGATTTTTTTCTATTTTGTGATTATTTACTTTCTTACTATAATAAGATAACATTTTCTACCAGTGATTAAGAATTGCTTCATTAAAGGCATGCATGGTACTGCAGGGTGAAACAACCCAAAACATACTTCAACTCACCAGGCTGAATGGGATCCTAAATGATTACTGAGTTTCTCTTGGCCAACTCTGTCTGCTGATGGTGGCAGTCTGACCACCGTGGGCCTCCAGGGTCATCACATCAGGTCTGGGGTCAGCGAACTTGCCAGGCCAAGCAGCCATTTCCTTGCCACAGACCCTTGTGGTGACAAGTGTGGGAGTGGGAATGCTGACTCTTGGAGTTTCTCTAGTGTCTATAACCTGGTTAGGCACGCTTCAGAGAGAGAAAGTTACCAGCAGTAAAATCTTCAGAAATCTAAGGCTGTTAAAAAGTAATTGTTTCAAAAAGGGGGGAAATTAAGACAGCTTTTTTGGTTGGCTTGTTTGTAAAGTTAAAGTGTGCTAACCTGTGACTAGTGGAATAATTTTATCCACTGCTTTCCTCCACCTTAAGCAATTTATGGTCTTTTCATTTGTTTTCACACACACAGAACAGCCGCAGCTTAGAGAGAGTGGGAGGAGAGACTTGATGTCCCTCTGTGGGCCCTCAAGTGAGACTGGTAGGTGGCTGGCAGGCAGGTCTGTCTAGGAAGTTGGTGTGGGTGGGGGATGCATTTGTCTGTTGAGTCAGGTGCCTGTGGGTGTTGGATTGGTGGAAGGTCGGGGTGAGGGGGGGCTGGAGAGTCACTTCCTTTTTGACCTTCACTGGGTTTGCGGAGATTCAAACCCCAGTGGTCCACAGAGGGGCTGTGGCTTGCCAGACGTCTATTTACGTAAAAACAAAGGACACTTCCTGAGCAGAAAGGGTCAGGCTGGCACTTTGGCACAGTTAGAAAAACCTTAGGTCCGAGGTGCTTGTGAGTATAGCATAGATTCTGTATTTAAAGTTGACCTTCATCCCGTCCCTTGACTGCCCAGGTCGTGAAGGGAGGGCTTCAAAGCGTGCCTTCCCCTGCCACAGACTTTGGATTAAAAAGGGTGCAGGACACGCTCCAGCTCAGACGTGGCAACCTTTCCTTTCCTCAAGCATGGTTATTTAAAGACAAATGTACCATCTAATGTCACCATGGTTTTATTACAAGAGAATTGTAAAAAAAAGATACTGAACAAATTTGACTCAAAATTTAAATTACTTTTGCCTTTATAAAAAACCGAGAAAGAGGAAACGTTTAGAATAGCTTCCAGGAAAAACTCCTCTCACTGTATTGCACTTGCTTCTTCTCATCTCTTTTCCTCTTTGTTGCCTCACTATCCCTGCCTCCCTGCCTCCGGTCTTCTTCCACACAGGGCGCTCACCACCCCATTGGCGTTTCAACCGCACTTTATTTTTCTAAAGTACATCAGTTGAGCAGGGCATGGGTCACCTATTACCTTGGGGGAGGAAAATGGGGGAAGCATGTAGAGGCATAGACAACAGGCTGAGTGAGACCCACCACTGAAAATGAGGCCGGGAGGGAAGGGGCTTTACTTTGTTTCCCACTGTATCCCTTCAGCCTGAAAACAGGGTCTGGGAGGTACAGGTGCTCAGTACATGTTCATTGAATCAATGACTAAAACACAGTCAAGGTACATACAAGTTCCACTGTATCGCATCACCAATGATGGGGCAGTAGTCCCTGCTCTTACTGCAGGTGATGGCAACATTCCACAAGTCATTGAAGATTAAACCTCTTCGCAGAGATATGAAATGGAAGAAGTAATTGATAATACATCTTCCTAACTCAACCATTATTCTATTTTTGTTGTCAGTCTTTTCAGCGCTTTGTAATATGTATTTAAAATGTGGTTATAATCTGAGAATTTTGGTTAGGAAATATGGAACGTATTTTCAATCAATCTCCTTTACCTACAAGGTATTACTCAAAACAAATTTAAGTGATGTTGTCTGAATAGGTCTGAAATAAGCTTTGATAATCTGTGTTGGGCAGCAACAAAGCATGTGGTATCAGTCACAGAAAACTTAAGGGTCAAAGAAGTATACAAGGGGAGACCCCCCCATGGAATTTATTTATTAAAAAAATGTGTATTTGTTCTTACATGTTTAAACTTCAATCATTTGTATTCACAGTACTCTCCATTTGATGCAGTGCACCAAGAGACATTTTATTCCCACTGTTCAAAACAGTATTTGAACTCATTGATTTTGTTGCCTTTTAGTGTTTCTGCCAATTTTTGTTTCACCTCTTCCACATTGGCAAAATGTTTTGCTTTGAGGATTCTTTTTCATCCAGGGGAACAAACAAACAAAAAAAGTCACTGGGGGCAAGATCAGGTGAATAGGGAGGGTTGGAGCACATGGGGTCATGCCGTGTTTGGTCAAAAACTGCTGAACACTCAGCTCGGTGTGGGCAGGTGTGCTCATAAATCGCCCATCATGAAATGGGCAAAGGCCTTGAAAGAGTCTTCAAAAAGATTTCACTGAAGCCAAATTCAGCCTCTTACAACAACACCAGCTAGTACACTGATACAATAGGCTCCTAGAACACTTACCTCGCAGGGGAAACCTGTACAACAAGGGGTCCACCCTCCAGAGATAATTCCGTTTTTTGGGGGGGGTGTCCCCTCATAATACTTGCATTCTCTTGCTGGTTCCTTTCTAAGGGTTTTGATGTCTCATCAGTAAAATCAGAGTATTGAGGTTCTATCATCTCAAAGATCTTCTTAATGTTTGAAGTTTAATAATACCTAAAACAGATTTTATTGTTTTACAGTCTGATTGCAAAGCAGTTTATAGTAAAAATATTTATATATTTATGCATACAAATTTACATATTTATATATAATAGTAAATATTAACCTGGATATAGGAGCTCCTTCCCTACAGAAATAGATTTTAGAAATTTATATAAAGAGGCCACTGTTAATTTCTCAAGACTAATTTTTACCTGAAGGAACTGCAGTACATAGTTTCACTTACCGGAGAGGCTGGTTATTGGTAATTTAAAGTCCCAAATGTAAATCTTTATCCTTACAAACCAAGAAAACAGAAAGGTAATTCAAAACAAAGTGACAACAACAAATCAACTAGGAGCAATCTAAGGGAGAGAGTGAGGATAAAACATTAATTAGTCGGTGCAGAAATGGAATGAAGAAAATTCTCCATATGCGCTCATACAGAAGAGGGTAATGCAGTAAACTTTTCCTGGCAGTAAGATTTAGGATCAACCCTCTTCTCAATTTGTTTTTCTAAGGACCAACACTTCCTCTGTAAGGTAACTTGGCAGCCTGACAATTATTTCATTAATCTGGATATAATCTTTCTTCTGGAGGTAACAGAATTGCCAGAAATTGAAGCCTAATCTCCATTGCCACCTTCTCTCAGCAGGTGAGGCTGACCCGCCCAGGACCGACGCCCCCAAGGGTGCCAAAAACGCTGCTGCTGTGGAGATTAAGTTTCTGTTGAAAACCTTAGATAGCCTAAACCCGTCAAGATTTCAAAAGAACCGGAGGCAATCGTGCCGTCAGCAGTTACATAAAGCTAAATAAAAGTATACTAGAATTACTTTCCCATCCTGAAGGCTGACACTGAACTTGGATTCACAGCTACATTCCGGAAAGTAGTTTAGGAAAGAATCTGGGACTAAGAGCCTCCTACCGCACGCGTTTTCTTGCACTAAATGCCTTAGTGTTCATCGGTTACGTCACATGAACACACGTGATTACCCTATCAAGCTGCAAAATTAATGTATTTAATAGACTTTCCAACGTGGGGCCGGCGGGCAATAAATCCCGTCCACAGGAGCAACTCTTCGCCGCTGGCCTGGAAGTCCAGAAGGCCCCTGGCCCTTCCTGTCCGGTCCTCCTAACCCCAGGGCAGCAGTAGGTTCCTGCGTTTACTGCAGTCTCCTACTGCCCCCTGCTGGGCACCCTACGGTGGTTTACCGAGGGCAGCCGCGAGGCCACTGAGGCGCGCCGGGCGTTTGCGTCATAACGGCGCGCGGCCTGCGGCCGGAAGTTACTTGTCCACTTTCGCCCCCAGTTCCGCTCCACTCCAGAGGCGGAAGTAAAGCTTAATCCAACATACAGGTATAGACCAAGTTTCAGTTGGTGGGTTCCTGCCGCTGTGCTTTTTATTTTTTGGAGCGGGTTTGGGTGACTTTGACATATAGCGGAGTCGCATTCCGGCTTAGCTCCTTGCACAATTGTCCCTGTGGGAGGAAGAGAGATGGGAAAAACTCTTGGAATGGAACCTATGGAATTAACTTTGGTTTGAGTTACGGCTCACCTGGATTCGAACCTTAACGCTTCGCCTAAAAGAAGCTAGTAAGGGAACTCGGCGATTTTTTTTTTTCGATTTTGTATTTTTAGGGATAATGCCTACTTTGAATTTGTGGGGTTTAATTAAGACAATGGATGGGAAGCACTTAGCTTCTTTTTTCCCCAAATCATTCGTGATTCTGCAACCTTTTCTCATCATATTCAGGCGTGTACTGGCCATTTTCTTTTCAGTATCTCTAAGAGGTATATAGTATGCAAGAGGTTATGCGTCTCACGAGAACATTATGTAATGCCAGCTGGGATCTCTATTCTGTATTACGAAGTCCTGACAATATTTTATGCTCCCCCCACCCCTTTTTCCTTTTCCAGGGACAACTGTTTTCCAGCTTTTTTTCCTGGAGGAATGTAAAAGTCCTCCTTCTTTAAGACAAATGAGGTGAGAAATGCTTTGTTGTAAAGATCTCTAAACAGCTTGTTTTGTCAAACGAGGGCCAACGGAAATGTTGAACCAGTGATTAGCAATTTCCATTAAAAGCCCCTTTATTAGGCTACTGTGAAGCACAGGGTAATGTAAATTCTCTTTTATTCCTTAGACCTTGCAAATTACAGGTACACAAATTTTCGGTGTTTCTGTTAATTTTAGATTTCAGCCCTTGCACTAATGGGTCTGGTTAATTAAAAACGTTAATATGAGATTGAAATACATTAGAGTATTAATTATTTTTGAAATTTGTAGATCGAGGCAGTCGATGCTTCTTGCATTAGACTGTTTATTCACCTTGCTAGATATAATGGGAGTATTTTGGATGGAGATTGGATGTTAAAAGAGTACAGTAATACTGATAGTTACAAGGTTTAACATTTTTGTGTTTAAAACTGAAAAATAGGTAAGGGTAATATATATATCCCATTATATTTTTGCACTTCAAGACAATTTTAATTTTTAAAAAATTTCCTGTCTGATTGCAACAAACACAAATTTAATATTTTAATATTTCAGAACCAATATATAGCTGCCATTAATCTGTCAGAGGTTACTGTTTTGTTTCATTTTTTTCTCTCTGTGTATACTAGTGCTCCTCCCTCTTTATGTAAGCAGTATTATCCTAGCCATACCGTTGTGCGGTTTGCCACTTAACACTGTCTTGGATATCTTTTTACTGTGTTAGGTCTGCCTCTTTTTTAAAATCAGGCTGTATAGCATTGTATATAATACCACAACTTACTAGTCATTCTATTGGTGACCATATGGGTTCCTTTTTTTGCTGAAGCAAATAATACGATGGTCATCCTTTTCATAACAAATGCGTATTCTTGTCCTTTGGATAATCTCCCAGAAGTAGAAATGCTGGGTTGAAGGACATGGAGGGTACTGAATTCTCCTTCATCAGTCATATTTGAAAATTTAGTTAACATTGTATTTAGGCTTAGCTGAAACTGCTCAAAATATGTTTTGGGTCAATTTATTGCATGCATAGTGTAATCAAAACCAAATTTTAGTTGCTAGTTCTATGTCCAGTTGAGTTCTTTTTCCCCTATGGAAATAGAATACTTAGTTTTAGATTCTTTAGCAATAAAATGAATTATTTTAAAACAAATAATTCACTTCAATAGTGTATATTTGTGAAGTTAAAGATTTGGAGGAAGATAGTATTTGAATGGGACTTTGTGCTATAGATAAATATCAGGAGGATAGGCCTTTCTGAAAGATTCTAAAACAATGGCAGAGAGACGAGAATGGACAAAGATGTTTAGGACCTGAAGTTTGAGAGGCAGTGGTGCCTAGTTGTGAGGTTGTAGAATAGAAGCCAGCTAGAAAGGTAGGTAGAGCTACGTGGTGAGGGCCTTGAGGGTCAGTCTAAAGGTTTTACTTTGTAGAGAAGAGCTACATAGGTCTTTAATCAGGGAATGAGGGACATAATTACATCTTTGTTTTACAAGAATACTATGATGGCAGTTTGAGTGACTGATGTTAGTGAAGCAAGTTAGATGGCTATTAATAGTCTACGTGAGGGAAGAGTAGAGAGTAGAGAGGTTGGAGTTCAGAGATACTAAATAAGCTGAATCTATATGATTTGATGATGGGTTGAAGAAGAGAAAGCAAAGCTTACTTTTATATTTATATTTTTATCACTGTCAGGATAGTGATTTCATTAATCAGAGGAAGTCTGGTTTGTTTGGGGGCTGGGAAAGATGCTCATTTTGGTTTTGGACGTGTTAATTTGTGTGAAAGCTGTTTCCATGGAGAATGAATTACACACAAAGGAATAAAATCCATCCATGGCAGATTTAGGAGAAGCCTTAATGCTCTTTTGTTAAGAAATTTGGCATATATTTGTACTTGCTTTTAGTCTGTCATTAATAAAATTTCTTTTGAACTTTTTGTGGCTTGTTCAGCCCTGTTTGAGGGTGTGCTGTCGAGGGCAGTAGGCTTCAGACTTCCTTTTTATCACGCATATTCTCTAAAAAAGGTTTATACATGTACCATCAGTATGTTTACATTTATTGGTGAGTTATGTGCATGTCTTACAGTACTATTATATTGTATACAGTTAAAACACATTGAAAGTGGAAAATTTAAAAGGCTGAGACAAATATAAACAGTTTTACTGTTTCTTCCTACATTCCATTGGGTCATCTTGCCCACTCTCTTTGGAAGGCGCTGGTCTTGCCCATAGCTGTTAGCATCCTGTCTAGTTATCCAGTAGAGGTCACCCGTGAGTGTCGGGTGGAGAACAGATTGTTGAGCTGCGCAAGGTAAAGCCTTCCTTTAGTTAAAAGAAGAATCTTATTTTCAAGTTTCTCAATTCATGCATCTTTGGAAGAGTATATAGTTATAGGGTAGCATGTGGTATTACAGAGAAGTGAACAATAGTGAACTCAAGAATATAGGGCAATCTAAAATGTGCTTTTGTTGTTTGACGTTTACCTTTTGAGCAGTCTGTATTTTTGTTTGAGTATTATTTGATTGTATTGTTTGGGAATATTTTCCAGTTCTTCGAGGATCAGTAGATTATCTGAGTTATAGGAATGTCCCTAGCCTGTAGGCATAATCCAAGTTCTTGTTAAATTGGAATAATTAAAAATACAGACACAGGGGCTTTTTTGATACTGATCTTTAAAGTAGTATCTTCAGTGCAGATATTAGTGGTGGAGTTGAAACCATTTAGCTCTATTTTCTATGATATGCTTAATTAGGAGAGAGGAAAAGGGAAATACCTGCTTTAAATGATAGGAGCCCGTTGTAAGTAGTTAGAAATCAAGAACTAAATTCGTCACAGCTGTATAGTCTGAAAAGGAGAAACTACAGTTTAAAAAAATGTGTGGTGGTGTATGATTCAGACCACAAGTAGTTTAGGAAATAAGTAATCTCATAAGAATACTTTTTTTGTTGCTTTCCTCCTAAAATATTTCTTATAGAGATGCTCATTTTAGTAGGGACCTATGATTATTATCAAATAGCAGTTCATACATTTCATGACTCATTTCTAAATGATCAGGGAAATGAGTTATTGAGGTTTTAGCCACTTGTACAAAGTTGTATCTGTTGTGAAACAGATACAGAGAGTCTCAGGTTAGCCTTTTGTAATGTGGTTTGGGGAGAATGGTAAAGTACCTTTTTAAATGTGTCATCTCACAGCTCAGTTCCATGTATGGTGGACTGTTTGGATTAAAGATCCCAACTGGATCATTCTGAAGATGAAAACTGGTTTGAAGTTGTTGGGTTAAAACCAAGGGGACAATAGAGTAAGTTGAGTGAGGAGATTGGGATTAGGAGCTGTTGACCAGAGGTCTAGGTAAACTGAGAATTAGTCTCTAATAATTGCTTGGATTTAAAGAGTGCCATGAATCTAGAAAAATGTGGTTATGATGGAAATTAGGTATTCTGAACTGTTAGTTTTCAGGGCTAGATTTAGAGCTTGATAAACAGGATGTGAGAACAGAGGCAAAGAAGTCTGATATTTGTGGGCAAGGGCAAGGGCAAAGATCTGGGAAGTTGGGGGAGGGAGGTGGGGAGGGCTGGGTGGGTGGGCTGGGATGGTAGTAAAAGATAGAAAATTGTACTTGAACAAGAATTAAAATAAAATTATTTAAAAAAGATCTGGGAAGTTGGAAGACAAGGCAGAATTGAAAATATCCGTTAGTAGGAATAAACCAAAGGTTTGGCAACCAGGAGGGTAAAGCAGAGATGGAGAGGGGCCAAATAAAAAGAGTAAGATAAAGGCAGGAATAATTCTGGGACAGTGATGATGTTATACTGCCTTCATATATGGACACACACTTCTAGAATGATACCCAGACTCCTGGGAGTGGAACTTTGGAGTGAGGAAATAACTTTTCCTTCCTTTCTTCCTTCCCTCCCTCCCTCCCTCCCTTCCTTCCTTCCTTCCTTCCTTCCTCTCTTCCTCTTCTCCCCTTCCCTTCTTCCCCCTCCTCTTCCTCCTCCCTTCCCCCTCCCCTTCCCCTTTCCTCTCCCTTTCCCCCTCCCTGTTCCTTCCCTATTTTATTGATTATTCTGTTAGAGTTCTTCTAACTTTCCCCCTGTGCCCCCCTCCACCTGGCACCCCCTTCTACCCAGTATCTCCCACTCCCTCAGACAATCCCCACGTTGTCCATGTCCATGGGTCATGCATATATGTTCTTTGATTAATCCCTTCACTTTCTTTCATCCAGCCCACCACCTATTTCAGCTGTCTGTCTGTTTCGTGTTTCTTTGCCTCTGATTTCTATTTTGCTTGTTAGTTTATTTTGTTTGTTGGATTCCACTATAAGCGAGATCATATGGTGTTCATCTTTCAGTGACTGGCTTAGAGGAAATTTTCTACATACACCTTCTACTGTTAGATTTTTTTTTTACTGTTGCATAACTTTTCTAATAATTTTTTAAGTGAAAAGGAAAATAACTCACACACACATGCACAAAAGAATGTTTGGAGGCCAGGTCCAGAGCTAATTAGAAGTAATGAGCTAGAGAGTGGGAATGTGGTGGCTGAATTGTTACCACAGCAGCAGGAGAGCTGGAGCTACAGGTATCTTGTTATAGAAATGACCGTGATGCTTATAGGACTATAATATGGTCTTTCATCTATTTAATACATGCATTCATATAATATTGTATATTTTGTTTTACACAGCATTCCAAAAGGTTGGGGCTGCTTGACCATTCTGGCACCACGAAACCTCTTTTATATGAGAAGTAATGTTCTCTTTGGTTCACGATGTTGGATGATCCAATTTTCAGCAGAAATCCTTTTCAAATCAGTTTCATTTAGGTTCTTTGGTGGGAAGTGTGATAATGAAGACAGTGAACCTTCGGAGAACGAACTGCTAACCAACTTACTCAGTATGGGAGTAGACATTGACATGGCGAAGAAACGACAGCCAGGAGTTTTTAATAGGATGGGTATTAATGAGCAGGACCTGAAGATGTTCCTTCTCTCCAAAGGAGCTAGCGAAGAAGTGATAGCTAGCATAATATCAAGATATCCACGAGCCATTACACGCACAACTGAAAACCTTTCAAAACGGTGGGATCTGTGGAGAACAATTATGACATCAGACCTTGAAATTATAAATATTTTGAAACGTTCTCCTGAATCATTTTTTCGGTCAAATAACAACCTAAACCTAGAGAATAATATAAAGTTTCTCTACTCAGTCGGATTGACCCGTAAATGCCTTTGTCGATTGTTGACCAGTGCCCCGCGTACCTTCTCCAATAGCCTTGATCTGAATAAGCAGATGGTTGAATTTTTGCAAGAAGTCTCTTTGTCCTTAGGTCACAGTGATCCCACAGATTTCGTGAGGAAAATAATTTTAAAAAACCCTTTCATCTTAATTCAGAGCACCAAACGGATAAAAGCTAACCTTAAGTTTTTACAATCAACATTCAACCTGAACAATGAGGAGCTACTTGCTCTGATATGTGGCCCAGCGGCTGAAATTCTAGACCTTTCCAACGATTGCACCAAGAGAAACTACGCAAATATCAAAGAGAAGCTGTTTTCTCTTGGGTGCACCGAAGAAGAGGTACAGAAGTTTGTCTTGAGCTATCCAGACCTGATCTTCTTGGGAGAAAAGAAGTTTAATGACAAAATAGACTGCCTCATAGAAGAAAAAATTAACATTTCAGAAATAATTGAAAATCCTCGGATTTTGGATTCAAGCATAAGCACTTTAAAAAGTCGAATCAAAGAATTAGTAAATGCTGGCTATAACTTGAGTACATCAAACATCACTCTTCTATCCTGGAGTGAAAAAAGATATAAGGCTAAATTGAAAAAGTTAAACAATGGGTAGAACATTGTTCTGGGGAATTAAAAAAAGTCTTAATAATATGGCATTTCACTTTGAATTTGGGCCTTTCAAAAAGGAGAGGCTTGATTTCTTAACCACATACATACATTTAATGATTCCTTGGACATTTTATTTTAACGGTTCTTAAACACTCATGGTCGGTATGCTCAAGTATAGTCTTCCAAGCTACCTTTTCTCTAGCTGGAATTAATACAGTCTCCTATTGTATGAGATGGGCTGTATAAGTGGTATTCCTGAGTGCCAAAGCAGAACAATGTATAGAAAAATAGAAAATGCCAAAATAAGCTTTTTGGGTTTTTTGGTGTTCAAATTAAGAAGTTGACATATTCATTTAGATAATTCCATTTTCTTTAATGAGTTAAATGGCAACCTATTTTTCCTATCATTCCCATATATCTAATTAAGGTTCATCTTGCAAATAAAATGCCAGTAAAAATCTGACAGAACTGTAAGGAGGGATTTTTTTTGCCCCAAGTTCTACATTATGTAAACTGCTATTATGCTGCCCTGCCCCCCAGCCCCCTAACTTTTAGGCTCAGTTTACTATGAGTATAATCCTGATTTCTTTGAGGGCAAGGGCAGCTGTGGTAGGCAGAATAGTTGCCACCCAAAGACATCAAAGTCATAATTCCCAGAATCTGAGAATATGTTAAATTGCAAAAGGCTTTTGCAGATGGAATAAAGTTAAGGACCTTGAAGTGGGGTGATTACCTGTATTATTTGGATGGACTCTGGGTGATCATAAGGACACTAAAAAGTGGGAGAGGGAGGTAAAAGGAGGTCAGGGTGATGGGATGTTTGAAGGACTTGCTCCACTTTTACTGGCTTTAAAGGAGGAAGAGGCTGTGAGCCAAGGAACAAAGGTAGCCTCTACGAAATGTAAAAGGCAAGGGAACTCCTAGTGCCCCCAGAAGGGAATGCAGCCCTGCCAGGACCTTAAATTAGGCCCAGTGAGACCTGTGTTAAAATTCTGAGCTATGGAACGATAAGATAACAAATTTGTATTGCTTTAAACCTCCGAGTTTGTGATCATTTGTTACAGCAGGAAATTGAATAATGCAGCAACTAAAAAAAATGATTAGTTGTATTACAGGTGAAGTCACAAAATGTGGTCCTTTTAGTATATCTGTATTTCTTCATATCATTACCTTTTGTATTCAGCTACCTTTTTGGAATGGCTAAGTTTTGTAAAATCCTCTAAATGTATGATAAACACTAAATGTGAGAATAAAATCTAAATAAGGAATATTTTTGCCTAATGAATGTAGTTTAAAGAAATGGTGATAATTTCTGTAAGGCATTTCATCCAGTGTAAATAAAGAACAAGGAATTTTTAGAGGCATTGACTTAAAGGCAAATTAGATGATGTTTGTATCTTGAAGACATTGACAGTCTAACTCTGTTATAAATGAAAAGAGAAGGGACAAATTGCATAACCTTATTAATTACATGTATTTAATTGTTTTCCAGGGTCCTTTGTTTTGTAGATGTGGATTTTGAATTAATGGCTTTCAACCTTTTAAGCCTTGTTTCCTATTGTTAGGTAGATTAGGTAGTAAACTAGGGCAGGGAGGAGGGAGGAGACATGTCTCATCCATTGACTCAGCAGTCCTGAGCCTGGTCCAATAAGATGTCTGTTCTGAACATCATAAATAGGGACAGCTCAGGAAGAGGGGAGTCCTACTGGGAAAGAGGGCCTCTGTAGCAATATCACTGAGACAAAGAGCCTTTACTAGCTGAGAAAGAAAGCCTTTGTAGCTGTATATTACTCCCAAAGTTTAGAAGGGGAAGAAGGAGGGGAAACCTATAAACTGACTAAAGTATATAAACCCTGAACCCCAACAGTCTGTGCACTTGGATTAGTTAGGTGCCCACCTGTAGTCTCAGTTTACTAACAAACTTACTAACACTCTATTTAGAAGAAACAACTTTATTTCTTCTATATGTGCGACATTCAGACTGGCTGGGTGCCTGCCTGTAGTTTTGTGCTCATAAATAAACTTGCTATCTCATTTCCACTATATTTATTGTCTCTCAGTTGAATTTGTCTCTTGTGAACCAGGAAAGAACTGAGGAACAAGCTGGGGTGTCAGTGATGCCTCCCCAAAAAAGTATTCCCACCACTGATAGAAACAAAATGCCTGCTCTTTCAAGGCCATTTTCAATACATTATTTGATGGCTAGCATAGCAGGCATAGTTTAGAAAACATGGTCTTTCGAGAGACATTTTTTTTTTTTAAGATTTTATTTATTTATTTTTAGAGAGGGAAGGGAGGGAGAAAAAGAGAGAGAGAGAAACATCAATGTGCGTTGCTGGGGGTCATGGCCTGCAACCCAGGCGTATACCCTGACTGGGAATCGAACCTGTGACACTTCGGTTCGCAGCCCGCGCTCAATCCACTGAGCTACGCCAGCTAGGGTGAGAGACATTTCTTTGGAGTGATGATATATCTAGGCACCATTCCTGAATAGCTCTGTAACTTTGTGTAAATATTTTAAGTTCACCGAGCTTTGTCTTCTCATCTCTAAGATTAAAAATTGACCTTGCAGGGTTGGTGACAATCAGATGACATAGGTCTCTTAGGGTTTCTTGCACATGGTAACTACTCAGTGGTAGCTGTAATAAATAGTTACAGTAGTATTTTTAGAACAGTTTAAACTTGCTTTATTGGTATGTAATTCACATACCATACAACTCACCAATATAAAGTATACAATTCAATTTCTTAAATTTATAGGGCTGTGAAATCACCACAATCTAATTTTAGGATATGTCTGTGCCTTCTAAAAGAAGCCCTGTACCCATTGAGGGTCAATCCCTTTTATCACCCCTGTACTTGCCCAGCCCTAAGGAGCCAGTGGTCTACTTTTCTGTCTCTGAATTTTCCTGTTCTGGACATTTCATATAAATGGGCCCATTCAATTTGTGGTCTTTTGTGATTGCCTTCTTTGACTTAGCATAATGTTTTCAAGGTTTATCCATGTAGCATGTATCAGTATTTCAATCCTTTTTATTGCCAAATAATACTCCATTGTATGGGTCCAGTAGTATTTGGAGTATATTTTATTATGGTCTAAGCATAAAGTATTAATTCCTCAGGCTATTGAATTGTATTGAAGTATTTTTTTTTGAGATATTGCTTCAGAATCAACAAGTTCATAAGGAACTTGCAAGAAGCTGGCAGAAGAGATAAACTTTACTGGCATCCACTGGTCATGAGGATTATGCCTGGGCTGACAGGAGATACATGGTGGCAGCAGTTGCCAGTGACCAAGGAGAATGTGGGACATGTGGAAGTACAATATGGCACTTGTCTGGGGGTTTGGGGAGGAGCAGCTTTGTAGAAACAAATGGTAATGCCCATCAGGCAATATATTTTTTAAGTTTAAAAATTCTAAAATATTTATTTATTTTAAGATTTTATGTATTTATTTTTAGAGAGGGGAAGGCAGGGAGAAAAAAGGGATAGAAACATCAATGTGTAGTTGCCTCTCGTGCACCCGCAACTGGGGATCTGGCCCACAACCCAGGCATGTGCCCTGACTGGGAATCAAACTGGCAACTGTTTCGTTCACAGATTGGCACTCAATCCATTCAGCCATACCAGCCAGGGCTAAATATTTATTTTTAAAGAGAGGAGAAGGGAGGGAGAAAGGGAGGGAGAGAAACACTGATGTGTGAGAGAAATAGCAATCAGTAGCCTCTTGCACACCCCCAACCAGATATCCGACCTGCAACCCAGGCATGTGCCCTGACTGGGAATCAAACTGGCAACTGTTTGGTTCACATACTGGCACTCAATCCATTCAGCCATACCAGCCAGGGCTAAATATTTATTTTTAAAGAGAGGAGAAGGGAGGGAGAAAGGGAGGGAGAGAAACACTGATGTGTGAGAGAAATAGCAATCAGTAGCCTCTTGCACACCCCCAACCAGATATCCGACCTGCAACCCAGGCATGTGCCCTGACTGGGAATCAAACTGGCAGCCCTTTGGTTCTTTTTTTTTTTTTTTTTAAATTTTATCACTCAGTCATTGACTTTATTTATTTTATTTTTTAAAAATACTTTTGATTTTTATTGTTCAAGTACAGTTTTCTGCCTTTCCCCCTACACAGCAGAAAGAAAAAAGGAGCTCCTACCCTTTGTGACAGTATGGATGGAACCCTTTAGTTCACAGACCTGCACTCAGTCCACTGAGCCACACCAACCAGGGCCTGTCAGGCATTATTAACATGTCAGATTTTAAGGTTTGACTCTGATCAAGGGAGAGTCAATTCTTTAAAAACTTTTTAAATTATAAAAGTTTTAAGTAATTTTTTAACAAGTAAAAAGAAAATTCATGTTTATAATGGGGAAACATGGAAAATAAATCACAAAAAAATGAAAAACTATATTCTTCCAGAGAGCTATTTTTGTTACTCTTTTATTTTCCTTGCAGAATATACCTATACATGGATGTAATATGAGTAGATATGTGGCATATATTTAAATAGAGATCAAACTGTGTATTTTATAAGTTGCATTTTATTTAAAAAAATTTTATTGTTCAATTACAGTTGTCTCCCTTTTCTCCCATTACTCTCCCCTGCCCTACCCACCCCCATTCCCACATTCAGTCCTCCCTCCCCTTAGCTGCTACCCCGTTGTCTTTGTCCATGGGTTGTTTATACAGGATCCTGACTTGACCTTTCCCGTCCGTTACCCTGTTATCCCCTTACCACCTCCCCGCCTCTGGTCACTGTCAGTTTGTTCTTTATTTCCATGTCTCTGGTTCTGTTTTGCTTGCTTGTTTGTTTTGTTGATTAGGCTCCACTTAAAGGTAAGATCATGTGGTATTTGTCTATGATCCTAAATATTAATTATTCTTTAGTAATTACAGAATAAATTAAGTATTTGCCTGTAACATGGTTTTTATTAGTTGCATGAAATTCTGTCATTTGGATAAACCCTAATTTCTCTATTGAATCTCTCACCATTAGAGTAAATTTTTGTATGTCAGTAATTTTTTGAAAATGCCGTATAGATTAGTTCAGTATTCCACAGTGTTATTCATACTACCATTTTTTTCCATCATTGATATATTATATAAGGTAAAATTTTGCTCTGGAAAATGTGAACATTAAGAATATTGCAGTCCGGGCCAGGTGGCTCAATTGGTTGGAGCGTCACTCCTTGCAGCAAAAGGTTGTGGGTTTGATTCCTGGTCAGGGCACATACCTAGGTTGTAGGTTTGATCCCCAGTTGGTGCGTGTACAGAGGCAACCAATTGATGTATCTCTATGATATTGATGTTTCTCTCTTTTCCTCTCTTGGGTGAGGATAAAAAATAAATAAAAGGAAAAAATACTGCATTTTACTGTTTTCCAAAATACCTACTGTATATACAAATCTTCATTTTTTAATGGAAGCCATCTGTACATTCTCAACTACTGGCATAAATTTGAGGACCTTTAACTGACTACAAGAATTAAGACAATATCAAAGGTTAAAGAGAAAAAAGTGAGTTTATCATGAACTTAGCAGGAAGGAATAAAAAATAAATAGTATTTATAAAAAGGTTTATTGGGTTATTAAAGTAGTCATTTCTTCCCTTAAATCAGGGGTGGGCAAAAGTAGTTTACAATTGTGAGTAGGCAAAAGGTTATTCTTGTATTATTTATTAATTGTATTATTTTCCATGTGAACAACTGTAAACCTACTTGTGCCCACTGCTGTATAATTTCTAAGGCTTAGACAGGTACATGGTTTGTGGCTAAAGATCTAATAATATGGCTTTTATGTGAAAAACTTGGCTATTGACTCCTTCCTTGTGGACTGTAATGCCCCACAGTCCACACCCAGAAGTATGCTCTGGTGGAGATTCAGGAGGAGAATCTGTTGATGACAGAACACAAGTCACAACTTTAGTAATAGGCAGTTGTTGCATAGTCTACGACGAGCTTGGCACAGGAAAGGTAGCAGGACTATTATTGTTAGATTTGGGAGAGAAATCTTAGCTAAAGCTCAGTTGTCCAACACTGGAGAGGGGAGGGATGAGCTATGACTCAGTCATAGTGGACCTCCAGGGATTCTTTCTAGAGAAACCAGGTCTTAGGTCCGATTGGGCAATAGACAACTTGGGAGACAGGTGTTCTAAACTGGCCATTGACTCCTTAGTGTATTCAGTGTTGACTCAGGGACCTGGTACAGGGCAGAGCTCCAAAATGATCAGTTTTGTGGAGCTGAGAGAAAGAAAGTTACAATGAATGTTATAACCACATCATATGTATCTTGCTCATTTTCATGTTTCTGGTATCCCCCAATGAATATGTTCCAAATTGATGATTTGAATCTCAGCTTTCTGTCCTTCACTGTTGGTTCCCTATAGATTTTTCTTTATTTCACTTAGTGTAACCTTCATTTCTTCCTTTATGTTGTTGCTGTATTCATTGAGATCTTTGAGCATCCTGATCACCAATGTTTTGAACACTGCATCTGATAGCTTGGCTATCTGCATTTTGTTTAGTTCTTTTTCTAGGGTTTTGTTCTATTCTTTTATTTGGGCCATGTTTCTTTGTCTCCTTAATTTGGCAGCCTCCCTGTGTTTGTTTCTGTGCTTTGACTCCCTGTAAAGGGCATCTGTAAGTTGTGTGGGTCGGAGCCTTAGGTAATGGCCAGGGCAGGGCAACCCTCTTCACCACTTTGTGGCTCTGTGTGGGGGGAGGGCTGGGAGAGGGGACCATGCCACTGCCTGGCTTCTGGGGTTTTGTCCCGCACCCACCCAGTTTCCAGTTACTTCACCCACTCTCCATATTTGATTGGCACCCTTCCAGCTATTGCCCTGGTGTTGAATCCCAGATTGGGTGGGTTTGCATACCTTTGAGACTGTGCAGTCACTTAAGCATAGTTGCCTGAAAATCTGGCAGTTTCTTTGGCCACCCCAACCCAAACTAGTTTTTACAGCCAGAAGTTATGGGGATTTATCTTCCAGAGCTGGAACCCTGGGTTGTGCCGTCTGGCCTGGGGCTGGGAT